ACGTGCAAGTTAAGTCTTTTGCTTCTGGCCAAAGACAGAAAGCATGCTTTTTGGTGTAGTGCATTACAAAGTTATGAACATCTAATACCTCAGTTTTTATATCCTCATATTTTTTTCATGTTTCAGATGTGGCAACCTTAACTTTGCAAGACGAGAGTACTGTAACAACTGTCAGAAGTCTCGCTATCCACCAGTGAGAAGTCCTCATAGGGGTTATCCTGGTCCTCCACCTCCACATGCTCCTCCTAGACGCTTCCCTGGTCCCCCTATGGATCTCTCACCTGGCAGGGCAATAAATGGCTTTAGGTCTCCTCCTCGTGGTTGGGCAAGGGATGGTCCAAGAGGCTTTGGTGCTGGTGCTCCCCGACATGAGGGCAGATTTTCTGATCATGGTGTGCGCAGAGATCACCTGGATTATCTAGAAGATGACTATAGGGTGAGGAACAAGTTTGACCGACCACTGCCCATGGATTGGGGACATAGAGACCGTGGAAGGGGTAACTTCTTCAATGAAAGAAAAGGATACGAGAGGCGCCCACCATCTCCACCTCCTCCTCCACCGATTCCACCTCAACGTGGCAGATGGGGACGAGATGTGAGAGAGAGGAGCAGATCACCAATCAGGGTTGGCCTACCAAAAGACCATCGTCGGGAAATGTACATGGGACGGGGACGAGGACGTGGACGAGAAGATCGACGTGGTATTGTTCGTGACCGATTTGGAGATGCATTTTAGCAATAGTGGACGTGTAATATTAATTCATTTAGAACTCCTTTTGCTTTTTTTTTTTTTTCTCTGGTGTAGAGTGAGGAAACTTGTAGACAGATTAAGACAAATCTTATGTTTTGCTTCTGATTTCCCGCAGCATGGTAACTTTTGGTGACTCTCTGTATACATATTTTCTGAGTGGCTTTCATCCAGATTTCAAGATTACAATAATGGTTTCTCAATATCTTTTGAAATGTGTATGAGAAATATATGTTAGTTCTTAACTTTTTGCCAAGTCAAGTAAACAGCCGTTTACTTGGTGAAACCGATCGGAGATCCAAACTTTTGATGCAGCTAAAAAGCAGGTGAGAGGAAACTTCTTGGCAACAGTTCGTTCGGAACCAAATTATTGAGTCAAGAATCAAGATGCGAGGAAAGCATCTTCATTTTTAAGAAGCACTGCTTGAATTTTTTTTCGAAATATATGACGAGATGATGACAATTTGACACGAAAGAAAAAGTAACAAATAGATTTTTTTTCGTTGGGAAAGGGCCCAGACGTCTGGGAAGGGAATTTCTTGCATCAGCATGCGCGCGGAAGGAAGACGCTTGAAATTATGCTGATGATATGGATGGTTTTCCATTGGCTAAATACTGAAATGGTTCTTAAACTTTAAATTTTGTATGAATTTGTCCTTAAACTTTTCAAAGTAGCATATAAGGGCAATAATAGTATGTGGATAATTTTTTGTATTTCTTTATATAATTTTTACATGTTATTAAATAAATGAACGCATATAATATTATAGGTTATTAAATGAGTAGATTATAAGTTATTAAATGAATAAAAACATATAATATCCACAACATTTGTATTCAATTTCTTACAAAATTCTAACAAAACTTTAATACAAAATTTATCAACTTCTTATATATCATTTTCTAACTTTTTGTACAGTACTTTCTTAATAAAATATTTTTTTAGTAAAGCCTCTAACCAAACAAACCTTAAGGGCATGTTTGGTTCTTTTCTTAGAAAAGAAAGAAAATCCCCAGAACGCATTATTTGGTTAAATTAATTAGGGCAAATATTTTGACATTTCCATTTACTCATCCCTAATTAATTTGTAATCAATTATATTTATTAAGCCTAATTTATAACTGATTATTTATAAAACCAATTAATCCAATAAAAATCTAATATATATAACTGCTTTGACGAGATCACAGGAGAAAATATGGAGCTCTCTTTGTTAGGAGAAGTTGATTCTTGCTTGGAGTTCTAATTGCATGTGTTGGATGAGGACTACTTGTGGAGAAGAGAAGAAGTTACTAGAAGAAATGGATCTTCCAGGTTGTGGATGAAAATAGGAAGAAAGGGGAGAAAATTAGAAAGCAATTGGTAATATATACACACATGATAGAACTAAAAACTTTGTGAGAATGTAGTTAGTTATAAAGTTATTATAACCAATTGGTATAGGATGAATGTACTAGATTATAAAATATATTACTATAAATCATATTATTTGATTGGTTTGAGATAAATGTGAAATGTAGTTAGTTTTATAATGTTATAAACAATTACATAAATCGATTATTACAAGGGAAACACAATATTAATAGTTGATTATACAAAATTTATAATCAGCTACACCAATTTCCTAAAAAATTTTAAGGTCATTCTTGACATTTTGTAGCCCAACAACAATAGATTTAAAAGGGTAGTCTTGGCATTTATTTGCCCTTAATTGAGCAATTTCCTAGAGAAAGCAAAAAATAATTTCCTAAGAATGCAAGCTTACCTGACTTTCTAGCAAACCAAATGCTTGCAAAAAAATCTGGCTTGTAAGAATCCGAGTCTCTATATTGCACTATTTCGTAACTAATTTTTATAAAACATAAAAATTGATTTTAATTTTATCTTATAATTTAAAATTTAATAAATTTTTGTTAGGTTTGATAGATGGAATTATTATGCTTAATAAGGTGCTTTTTAGCATTGATTTTAATGATAATTTCGTGGATTGGATGTAATTTTAGTTGATTTTACATGACTTAATTTTGTTGTTTTTGCATAAAGAACTCAATAGTAAGAAATAAAAAATTTAAAGATTGAATTGCAAAATTTTTGAAATTAGAGGAGCAAGATTAACATAAGAAAAACTGAAATTAGGGAACACATTGAAAGAAATAAGTTTCATGACTATGGTGTCAATTTGATTTAAGTTTAGGGACCAAAGTTACAAAAAACAAAATTTGCCATTTTAATGGAAGGACCATTTTGGCATCAATTAACAAAATTTAGGGACCAAAATGGTAAGTAAACCTTTCTTTTCCATTATAATTAACTTTATAATTTTATCCTATCAAAAAAACAAAACTTTATAATTTTATAATTTGAAAATTAAAAAAAAAAAGAACTTTATAATTTAATTAGAATCGAAAAAACAATTCTCCTCATAAGAAAAAAAAAAAAAAGGAAAACAATTCTGCTTTAGCGCCAATTTTTATTTTTATTCTTATTTTAACTTTTTAACTCAGTTCTTGACTAATTTGGTACCAATCACATCCTGCCAAATGTCATCAAAATTCCTCGTTTACAAAGATTCTCCACGTGGCGCATTGTCAATGGGCAACCACTTCCATTCCCTGGTCGTGAGCCCACTCAAGAACCTCTCATTCCATCACACACCTTTAAGTCCCACCGCTTTTACGGAAAACGCTGCGTTTAATTCGATCCAACGGTTCCACATCCATCCACACTCTCTCCTATGAATTTCCACCGTCTAATCAACTCGTCCATTACTTACCGTCGGATGGAAATCCCAGCCGCATCTCGCCCTTCAATATACGCAAAAAAATTGAAATTTCAAAACTAGAGAGGAGAGAGGGAGCAATGCGAAGGCCGGAGAAGAACAACACCACCAACAAAGCCCTCTTCTTCTACTTCATCTTCTTCGTTTTTAACATTTTAGAAAATCGCCGCTAAAACCCTAACCCTGTTTGTTTCTGCACTTACTATTTCTAGTGTTGCTTCTGCTTTTCTGTTTGGATTGGTCAATATCGAAATCTTTTTGGGTTTTTGGAAGTTCTGCGGTGTGTATCTTGAGCTTGGAGATATTGTTTATTTTTTTGGAATTTGACGTCTTGGGGGATTCTGCAATTGTGGGGTGGATCTGAAAGTCGGTAAATTTCAGGTGATTTGTGGAATTGGTGGGTTTAGTTCTGGGGTGTGGTTGGATTCTGCTTGGTTTTTTGGTAGGAGAAATTGGAACTTGATCTGGATTTTGAATTTGGGGGGAGTTGAATTTGATGGGGGAAGGAGAGGGGGGCGAATTCCCGCCAAAAAAGGTGCAATCGGATGCGGGGGATTTTCCGGCGAAGAAGCCGGCACGACAGCTCGATTTCACGGCGGGTCTTGGAGGGGCTTCTTCCGGGGGGGTGTCTTTGCCGGAGCATCCGCAATCCACCCAGGCGGCTCCACCAGCTGTGTCGCAGCAGCATCAGACTAAACCGCAGGTCGCAGGACTGCCGGTATCCACCCATGTGGCTCAAACAACTGTGTCCACAAGGGCTGTGTAAGTTTGTACTGATTCTCTTTTTCCGATCAAATTTCTGAATTTTTTCTAGTGAACCAAGATTTGGTTTTGGCTGCTGTAGCCAATTGTGTGCCTTGGTTTACTGTAAAGATGGACGCTTTCCTCTAAAAGCCTCGGATTTTTTTTTTTTTTTTCTCTCATTCTTCTTTTGTCAGAGAATGTATAGCTGGGGGCGGGAGGTCAAATTTCTGGGTTCCTATGAATACTCAATTTTTGCGTGTTATAAGTATTTTCTTCAATGTTTCTTCTTTCCTGATCATAAACTATACAGTTGGGATCTAAGGATTGAATTCTCCATGTTTTGCATGTTTTCAGCATGGAATATTTAGTCCGTTTTAGCTTCTCATTTCTTTAGTGCTGATGAAATTTATCTTTCTCATCCCTGTTTTGGCATGCATAACCTCACCCTCTATATGTTGAAAAGGGAAAAAAAAAAAAAATCACGCTTTACACAATATTTGATTGTTGATTTTTTTTTATTCTACCCGCAGAGTTCTTGTGACCAGGGATGTATTTCAAATCACTTTTCTCTTTCTATCAATGGTAGTCGCTTTTAGTTTAAATGACATACTTTGATTATATATCTTTCTTTGTTGTATTTATAGAAGATGTTCTGTGAAAAAAAATAATTTATGTAGATTGAGGATTCACTATTGCACAATTACTTTTAATGGAATTCTGCCAACTAATCATATGGAAGCTAAAACTGTTCTATTACCTTGTTGTGATTTATTTATTCTCCTTCAGAAAACCAGAATCCCCAAAATCAAGACCAAGATCCAATATTGATGTAAAGGAGGGTACTCCAAAGAAGCAGAAACAGTGTAACTGTAAACACTCAAAGTGTTTGAAGCTGTAAGTACACTGAATACATCTTTCTTGTTTTGGGTTCAGTGTCTTAAATCTATGTATTTACTGCTTTCCATGCAGGTAGTTTTGACTTTCATTAGGCTGCGTTTAAGTAATTTTGTCAGTGGATTCCTTTTTTTTTAAAAAAAAAAATCTAAGAACTCAAACAATAGGCTCCTATGTGAGCCAGGTTTGAAATTTATGCATGCAACTTTGCTCACCAACTATATGTTGGGTATGACAACTAGGTAGTTTGCCTAAGGCTTTTAAATAATATGATGTTTACTTCATTATTTTCTTCTACATGATTTTCTGTTCCATTTACAATTCTCAATTATTTTCCAGCATTTTTGCTTGTGGGATGCAAGCAACTTGTTCTCTTGTTTAAGATATATGAAATTAACTGATATAATGCCTTGATCAGGTACTGTGAGTGTTTTGCCTCTGGTGTATATTGTGATGGGTGCAACTGCTATAATTGTAATAACAATGTTGATCATGAGTCAGCTAGGCGAGAAGCAATTGAAGCGACGTTGGAGCGTAATCCAAATGCATTCAGGCCAAAAATTGCTAGTAGTCCACATGGTGTGCGGGATAGCAGGGTATGTGTGTTAAATTGGTTAGAATCTAAAGGGCAAACTAATAAGCTGTTAACCCTCTTCCGGAAAAGTTGGCTTCTATCAAATGACAAGTTCCATAGAGTTTTAAAGTAGTATTGATTCAGAAAATGGACATTAAAATTTGTAGTTAACTTTCATTGTTGAGATATCTACATTTTTTGGATGCTCTATTGAACATTTCTAGCATTCATTGCATCCTTTTTGTTCTCCTTGGTTGTTAGTGTGTGAGAAACATGATGTCATATGATTTTTGTTCTCCTTTTATTGTTAGTGTGTGAGAACTTGGCAACAGATGAGATAATGCAAATCTTTTTGTCTCTCTCTCAAGTAATCAATGAAGATGATAATGTTTTTGTTATTTGTCCATCTTGAATAGTGATTAAGAACGGTTGAGCACATGAGAAATTTAGGTCAATCAAGTTTCTCAAACAAGGTGAAGTTTATTCAGACAGTAATTTCTACTATCAGATAATAGTGAAATACTTGATTTTATTTCACAGGTCATAGTCTTTCAAAAGGCCATGTATTAGGTGGATAAAAACAAAATCTTTTTCACCAAATGCTCTTGATAATTAGTATTAAGCTTCCTAGAAATAGTATATGCTCATATGCATTATGCAATGGCTTTGAAATATTTTCAGGAGGAGGCTGGGGAAGTAGTGTTGGGGAAGCACAATAAAGGTTGCCACTGCAAGAAATCAGGGTGTCTCAAAAAATATTGTGAGTGTTTTCAAGCTGGCATTCTATGCTCTGAAAACTGCAAATGCATGGACTGTAAAAATTTTGAAGGAAGTGAAGAGAGACAGGCTCTCTTTCATGGAGACCATGTCAACAATATGGCATATCTTCAGCAAGCAGCAAATGCTGCCATAACTGGGGCAGTTGGGTCCTCTGGTTATACTTCTCCTCCTGTAAATAAAAAGAAAAAGGGTCAGGAAATCCTTTTTGCGTCATCAGCCAAGGATCCATCTCTTCAGAGGTTGGGACACTTTCAACAGGTATATTCCATTTTGACTTTTTTTGCAAAAACTTAGTCAATCTTGGCATTTCTCTTATCAATATTTTTTCTCTTATCAATAAATAAATAAAAATGAAGAATTAAAGAGGAAAGAAAATCCTCCTATTGCTAATAGTTCCAATGCAATTTCCATAAAGATTGAGTAAGCTAATACTTATCTTTGCTAAAAAGAACATAAAAAGAATTTCTATTCCACATATAGATCAAAGTTTTGCATCTTCATTCTTTTCATAATGCTTAGCATCAGTTTTTGCTTTTATTTTTCTTCCTTAATCATCCTTAAATGATGACTGATTATTGTTTTAACTTATGCCTTTTAGGACTGCTGATGTATCATTTTCTGCTTGCTCTATAGGTTAACCAAGCAAACCATATTAGACCTTCTGCCCCCTTATCTTCTTCTTCCATGTCTACCGTTTCTGTTGCCCGTTCTGGGACAGCTACAGCTCTGGGTCCTTCAAAATTCACATATAGGTATATTTGGTTGTCTGATGAAATAATTTTAATCTGATTGTTTCAGACACTAACTTATATATGATGTTCAAGGTCTCTCTTAGCTGATATTATCCAGAAGCAGGATGTGAAGGAACTTTGCTCAGTTTTGGTAGTTCTATCAGGAGAAGCTGCAAAGACACTTGCAGGTGCACCTATGAAAATCTAAATTTCCTGCTTTGAAATTATCCATGAAAGAAGATACTGGTGTGCATGTTTTTCATGCCTATTGCCTTCGATGCTTTTGTCTGTAATTCATCGGTTTGCACGAGTATGCCCATGCTCTAATATAGTTTCTTTTGCTAAACTTTTGGTAGACATTTCAGTCTCATTATCAAATTACACTTGCTCTTAGGGTCTATAAAACTATGGTTTTTATAATAAACCATAGGCAGAACCACATTTAGATAGCTCACTTTCTTTGAATCTCTTTTTCCAATGTGTTTGTTAAAAGTGCAATTTAGAGCAGGACTTTGTAAATTAATATAGTATTATCAAATCTCCTTTTAAAACAGCTATTGATGTTGTAGCAAGTAACCTATATTAACCTATATTTAACTTTAAACCATCATTATTATCGTGGTAGTATATTTCTAAGAACTAGTACTAGAGAATGGAAGGATCCTTTTTTGTCAATTGTGAATTTGCTTTTACTGCATAATGTTTTTAGTCAATTTATCAACATTACATATGTTCATTCATCCAATATTTGTAACAAAGTGAATCTTCTTTCAACTGATGTGCATACATCCAGATCAAAGAAGTGCAACTGAAAAGCAAGAAGATCAGACAGAAAATTCCCTTCCTTCATCTAATCTAGACAGGACACAAAACCATAAGGATTCTGATGTGGAGAAAACAATGGCTGATGATTGTTCAAGTGCAAACCAGGTTAATAAAGTTGGCCCAGATGATTCCAGTTCAGATGGCACTGATGTGCCAAAAGAAAGACCAATGTCTCCTGGAACTTTGGCATTGATGTGTGATGAACAAGATACAATGTTTATGGCAGCTGCTTCTCCTAATGGGATGGGCCAAGGCTGCAGCACAGCTTCACAGTTGCCTAATGGTCAGGGCGTGACAGAGATTTATGCAGAGCAGGAAAGAATTGTATTAACAAAGTTTAGAGATTGCCTTAATAGGCTTATCACCTTTGGAGAAATAAAGGGCAAGTTCTCTCTCTCCCTCTCTCTCTCTCTCTCTCTCTCTCTCTCTCTCTATCTCTGAAATTTTGATACACAATTAACGTAATTGTTAAAAAATGGAAAAAGAAAAAGGTTCAGGTCAAGTTTTGAAATTAGTGACAGCTTATTTGCAGAGAATAAAAACTTAAACAGCAAATAGCACGTCAAGAGATGGCGCATTAATTAGAAAATGACTAGAAAATATGTGCCTTTTGTAGGAAATGATTGAGATTCAATTGATGGCTGTCTGTTAAGGGACATATTTTGCAATTTTGGAGTTGGGGTTGGTTTGATTTTGACAATGCTCAAAGTGGATTGCTGATAGTTAAATTTTAAAATGGTGGTTTCATTCATGATGGCTTGTGAAGTACATGTTCCGTTATTGTTTAATTGGCTTCTCCAGAAAATGGCAAGTTTGCATAACTACCATCATCTAGCTGAGATTCCAAGATACAATGTGTATCTTATATGTTTTCTAAGCCCATTTTCTTGTATTGATTCTAAAGATTCTAATTGTGGAAGTTCTGGAGGTAATTGCTTTGTTGTAAGGTGGTATGAAGTTCACATGTTTTACTGAGCATGTGTATTAATTTTCTTTTATGAACCAACTGGGTGCTCTCTTTTCATGCATACATAATTGGGTATTAAAAATGCTTTTCTGGTTCATCTACAGAAACACAGTGTTCATCATTAGCTAGAACAGAGATTGGCAATCAAAAGGGTTCCCTCAGCAATGGTTCTGAAATTTCAAGAACAGAAATGGCAAGCCAACAGGGACCCCTGAACAATGGAGCTGCAAAAACATTTTTCCCATCTTCTACCAAGACATCTAACGTGGCTACTGCAATGGTTGCCACCTCTAATCATGATCTTTCAAGAGTTTCTTCTCTACCTCAAAAGGGGGACCCCAAGTCCAAAACCAATAAAGAGGTGTAAAGTTATTAAATGCCAAGGATTGGCCCAGGTACGCTACTACAGTTATGTAACATATTCCATTGAGTTTCAGCTTCACTATATTTTGAAGCAGTGTCAAGAGTTGTGGGCCTTAATTGACCAGAATTCTGGTTGGTTTCATACATGACTGATAAATTCCTATCAGATATAGTTCCAGCCCATACCATTGTAAATTGCTGAGCTTAAATTGAATGGTGATACTATTTACACTATACGTGCCAATGACCATCATGGCCTTGTATCTCTAGATGGTAGAATTTATTTCAGAGTAGTCACATTTTTAATGAAACAAAGAGCAATTTTATAATTTTTCATGGAATATTGCAAGGATGTAATCTGATCAAATGCCTAATTTCTCAGCCATTAGCAAAAACATATATGTGATATAGTTGACTTTGTACTGGGAATTTTGGATGCTACTTGCATTTCATACCACAGAGTTCCTTGAAGATTGTATGTTCTTATTGTTAATGTGAATATCCTTCTGGGATTAGAACACGCCCGCATGCATCTACTTTTTGCCATCAACTATGCTGTGTTTGGTCCCATGCTTTGTTTGCTTGCTCGCTCTTTTGGACCATGCTGCTAATCTCATACGTCTCTAGAACATAAATAGGTGAGGAGAGAAGTTACTTCTTTGTTTCCTTTTGTTACATATGATGTGGAATCCAGCTTTCAACAAAGGCAGGTAAAGGGAAGGGAAAGGATTACTCCCACCCTCCAGAGTCCAAAAAAAGAATGATAGAGAGAGAAATTTGAATATTTGGATCTTGACTATATTTTTTTTCCTTTTGTTTTTGTCTAAGAGATTAGGGTCATATCGGTTTATTGTATCAGCTTGTTTTGGGTCTGGACAATTTTTTGCAGAAGAGTATTCTGAGCATTGTGTTTTTGCTTTGGTTATTAAAATTTAGACTATTAAAATTAGCCCAAAATTAAAAATTAAAATCGATAATTTACAAATTTTAATACTGATGACTGAAACTAAAAACAATTTCAGTTTATTAAACTTGTTCATCTCTGTAGTATTGCTCATTTTTCAATGACTAAACCCTAAGCAAGAAACAACAATGATAATAAGAAAAAAAGAAGCTGCTTGAAGGCCTGGTTGGAGTTCTATTATTGTTGGTAAACGTACGTGTATACTTCGGCAATATTGGTTCTTGGATTAGAATTTGCATACACAATTATTACATAAAATTTAAATAATTTATTTTTTTATTATGAATAGTTAAACATTTTTAACTTTTTGTCTTTTAAAAAAAATTATATTTTTTATTTAAAAATCATAATAAATCTGAATTATTTATATAAAAATGATATATAATTAAAATATTATATAAATAATGTATGTAAAAGTTATATAAGTAAATGTAACTCTCACTGTCTTCCCTAAGTAAAAAATAAAAAAAAAAGGAAAAATGGACCCTTTAGTTAATGGCAAAAATCAACTTTTAACCTCTTAAAGGTTTGGTTAAATGCTAAATTTGGTCCCTCAACTTTAGTGAGTTACACATTTTTGGTCCCTCAACAATTTTTTGTACTTTTTTGATCCCTCAACTATACGAAATGCACTCCGTTAGTCCTTCTGTTAATTTGGACCGTTAACTCGCTTACGTGGCATTTTTTATAATTTTTTTGATGACGTGGCAAAAACAAATTAAAAACGTGTCCACCTAAAATTTTTTTTTATTACAACTCATGCCCAACTCAGATTATTATTGTTTATATTTTTAAAAAATAAAATAAAATAATTCTATTCCATCTTCTTCCTTTCTTTTTTTTCTTTTTCTTTCTTCCTCTTCTTTCTTCCTCCTCTTCCTTGGGTCTTTCTTCCTCTTCTTCAAATGGAACCCAGCCACTGGGATTGGTGGAACCCAGCCACTAGGATTGGTGGAACCCAGCCACTGGGTTCCACCGAACCCAGCCACTGGGTTCCATCGAACCCAGCAGATCTAGGTTCCATGGAACCCATTTGCTGGGTTCCATCGAACCCAGGCCCGAACCCAGCTCCACT